TACTTAAAATTCATAAATTTATGTCAATTCTAGTCAACTATACCTGTCAATATCTTCGGCCGTCAGTATATTGATGGAGACGTGAGAATAACAAGACCCTGTAATCAAAAATGCTTGTATAGAAAAATGTTTGCTATAATTAATATTTGTTTCAGGACAGATTAATCTAACATTAAATTTGCTAATTTTCTGCAAATAATGTTTCAGAAATAAATATTTTATTATTGCAAGATTTTTAAAACCGAGAATTAAGTTTTGTTTACAATCTGTCAGAAAAAAAAATTAAAGAATATCCGTTTCGATTTTTTTTCTGAAAAAAATAATGAATCGATTAAAAAATCATTCTAATTTCTATTAGAGATACACCACAGTATTTTGATTTCTGAAATTCGAAAATTTAACGCGTTAGCTTTCAAATTAGACTAAAAAAAAAGCTTTAAGAAAGATTTTTCATTTATTAAAATACATTTAATCCTTAGGTATACGGAATTTTGGAGGTATCTATATTAAATATATCACAGTATATTTAATTCATATCTTCCTGGTTTCAGTAGAAATTGATACCTTCTATTCCCATATCTCTAGACCACATACGGGTAACATTTTTAAACAATAAAACAGTGGGCCGAACTACTAAAAAATCAAGTTAATTTATCATTAAATATACTCCAGCCATTTCCCCCACAAAATAGCAAGCGCATAAGCATCTGCCTTAGAAATGGGGAAAAGTCGTTTTGTTTTTTGTTTTTTTTTTGAGAAAAGTTTCCTTCGATTATTAAAAAAAAACTCTGAAATATTGGTATAACAGTATCCGTGATGACAGTGATTAACATACACTAATGCGTTTTATTTGTTTCTAATTTATTCATTTGACTGTACAAAACATCTATAAAATGAAGTATGTTTATTCTCTAGAAAAAGAATAATTATCATTGGCGTTTCCTGTTTCTGAAGTTTACATGTATGATATTCCTTAGTGAAAACTAAGGAATATCATACATGTAAACTAATCGCTAATGATTTTAAATGCTGATAACGTCACCTTCAACGAACTATTACAAAATTCAAGAAACATCGTACTTAATCAATGTTTATACATGTTGTTATATATGAGAATGAACAAGTGAGAACGAAAGAAAAACACCATTTTAATAATCATTACTTTTCTTAATTCAGAAAGCTAATCGGTCTGCATCTAACCCGCGGTCCACTTTTTGCCATGACTGACCTATACCATAGTTGTAAACTATAATTTTGGAGAGTGAAAATTTAATTGATATATGATGGAAATTATGTAAGTTTTCATATGAAATAAAGAAAATATAAACTTGAAATAAAATTGTTCAAATGTGTGAAAAAAGGGTAGCATCAGTTTAAACCGATGCAAGAAGAATGTGTTTTAAAACTGAGTAATTATTACAAACATTATTTTCTATACTCTTGACTTTTGGTTGATAATAATGATGATTCGACAGTCGATGGTGGGGCTATGTAATAACAACGCATATTGATCAAAGCGAAGGTTCAAGCGTTTAAAATTGTACTACCTTCATCTTTTATAACATTTACTATAATAGTTCACTGATTGTTAATGATATTAAAAACAAATAAAGATAATATAAAAATTTGTGCATGAAAATTTTGTCACCGTGGGAAATGAGCACACGAAGAAAGGTATAGTGATAATAAATAATATTAAATGATTATGCGTTTTAATGAATTTACATTTATATTAGACGCCTGACGCTACACCATATTTATTTAATCTTTAAAAGTTTTAAATCCATTATACTGTAAGTGTTGTATAAACTGTAGTAGTTGTTAAATATTTTCTTAAGAAACAAGACTTTTGCGAAATCGGCAGAGAAGAAACCACATTATTCCTAGCTTTTTCCAACTTTTAGGACAAGATAAAAGAAATTATCTAAGGATTGTTTCATACGTTTAAATCCAGACGTGACAACAATACATTTTTGCGTATAAAAAGAGTTGTCTTTATGAAAGAGTCGTCTGCTGTAGAATTAAATCAAAACCCAAGTTGGTACTGTATTTGGCTTAGACTAGTAATGTAAGGGATGCTCAATATTCTAATGAATAAAAAAGATCAAGATCTCTAAGTTCTGTCTATTGTTTGCAACGACCTGGTTATTATCAGAATAAATTAGACGCTGTAAATGTAGTCGATGCACAAATTTATAAAAGGAAATATTTCTTTAAGAATTGAAATCACATCTTTTCTGGGTAGGAAAGGAAGAAACCTATAAATCCCATTCGTTTATTGATTGAATTCGAGAAAGATATCCAAAAACAGAAAAAGGGAAACAATTGCTGGTCAGACAAAGAAGAGACAGAAATAGTCATTTCAGATTTAAACAACACTCTTGAAATATAAAAGAAGTAATGTTTCAAAATGGAACAAAACCGGATAAAATAATGATTACTTTTTAAATTAATTAATTTATTCATTTTTATTTTATATCTTTTATGATTTTTTGTTGCAAAAGAACATGGTAAAATTGTAATAATTTTGGGTGACTGGTCAATTATTCTCCTCCAACTGGCAGAGACCCAAGGTAGAATTTATTTTAATTCTGAAAACATTTTGTGATCATTTTACGTTTCATCAAGCAGTAAGTAGACAAGCAAATAAAAAATCCCTAATAGGCACAATTTAATTCAAAGTTAATTGATTCATGATTCTTCATTCTCTATTCAGTAAGCCGCAAACAATTTTTTCTCTTTTGTTAATCATGTTGTGATTCCTTCTCGGGGCAGTTGAAACATAATAGAATTCAAATGGAACTCCATCACTTTTAACTGAAACTTAAGCTAAATGTTTCCATTGTTTTGAAGTATATTCTAAGATGATATATTTATAGAAACGTGAACAACGTCTATCTCACAATATTTTCCTATCTTTAGTATTTTGTTTCGAGACTTCTTCTAAGAGCGGAAAACTGAATAACTAGACACACTAGACCCTATGAATCTTTCTCTATAATAGCACCCACTTTAAAAAGAGCGTGAGAACGTTCTTTAATAGCGACATACCTAAGGTATTTTTAAAGAGATCATTGTCATTAACACGGTGTCTTTACTTAAGTTACCTTGTCGCTTCTACCTCATTATAAGATCCACTTTTCAATATATAATTTTACATTTAAATCCTCATTTTAATTTTGTTGTCATCGAAACAATTTATTCATCAGTCAGTCAGTTATGTACGATGCGTGACGCATGCTTGGGCGATCATGTGTCTTTCGATACATGACTGACGAGGCAGATAATTTTTCCCGCAGTAGGTTACCATTTCTATCTGCGGTAGACTTATTGACATCCAAGGCTATAGGAGCCGGTCTGTCCTGCTATTTACTCATAGCTGGATAATACCTTTCCCAAGTAATGGATTCGACTGGAATTCGAACTCGGCTCTACGATTACTCAATCTGAGCGGCTATCCATTACTCTACCGTACCTCCCTATATTCATTGATGGTTAAAAAGGCCGTGCTGTCCCATGTACTTTTATATTAATAGGTTCATGAACAGTAGACAAAAAACAAAACAAAACAAAAAAGAAACAGATGTGTTCAAAACGAGTTGAAGATTCAGTTGTGTAGGAGAGTGAAAAGAGTTGGCGGAATGTATTTATATTTTAATGGCACTTTGAATTATTCCAGGGAAACTGCCAACATTTCGTAAATTATATGGTGAGAAAGAAGACTACACATATATTCTGAAGTTAATGGTACTTGGAGAAAGAGAGAGTATGGGAATAAACTTCAATTAGTACTAAAAATGGCAGAAAGATTTTTTTAAGCATTTCAACCCAAGCAAGACGGGAATGCCACTAGTATGTAGGGGGTTACAGAGAGTGAAAGAGAAAAGACTGTGTATAGGTGTATTGCGGAAGGGATAAAAAGAAGAACGTGAATCAAGACATCAGATGATGGCGATTGACGTTGCATTTAAATTTTTGAAGATTGTACTTATCAGGGAAGTAATTAAAAGAAAGGGAGTTTCCTTCTCAGGAAGAGTGAGAAAATAAACTGTTGGAGTAGTGAAAGGGTGGGACCTAGGTGCCAACCTTAAATTCATTTATTCATGGCACCAAGGAAAAACAAAACTCGTCAGTGCAGTTACCATGAAATATTTGTGGAAAAGACAGAGGGAAGACACATCACGTCTGTGAGAGAGTGATTGGAGACGAGATGCCAAGTCAGGAGACGAGATACCAAGTCAGGACCTATCATATTGCAGATTCTTCTTTGGATGTTGTGGAGTACCTCGAAATGAATAGCAAAGGCACCAAACCATATATGACAACAGTATTCAATGCATGGACGAATGTGTGTAGTAGCATGAAAACTCAAATACTGAAGAGGGACACGGCAATGAAAGAGGAAGAAACCTAGTATTTACGGGAATGTCAGTATTTCTAATGAGTTGGATGAACGACGGGTTGTCAGAAGTTGGTCTTATCGGGAACTTTTCAACACGTCGTATTCAATAATTATAGGATTTAACAGTAAAAATTATAATACTCATGAAAAACGCCTATAATACTTATATCGAAACTATAATACATAGAAAAAAAAACGATAATACTTATACACGGAAAATTATATTATATATAAAAATAAATAATAGATAAATAAAAAACTATGATAATTATATTGGAAAGATGTAATTCTTATACAGAAAAAATATCTGTTACTTTATTGAAAAGAATCTAATACTTATGCAGAAAAGAATGTTTTTAATTGTTTACGCATGACAAAAATCGTTTCGTATACATTAATATATTCTACGTTTGTACTCAGTACTTGCGTATTTGAGGAGATAAATATCGATGTATATCTTGATTGTGGTTAAGTTGAACCAATCTATCACTAGTCACATTCCGTTGGAATGGAGGCTTTATCAACTTCCTGAGATTTTAATCATACTTTTTTTTACAAATAGGATTATAGAGAGGGAATTGTGCAGAAAGATATAAAGTTAGACAGGCATAGATAGATAGATAGATAGATAGATAGATAGATAGATAGATAGATAGATAGATAGATAGATATTAAAAGACTGGGATAGATATGAAAAGACTGAGATAGATAGATATGAAAACGAGATAGACAGATATGAAAAAAAGCTGAGATAGATAAGAAAAAACTGTGATTTTACATAGGTATGAAAAACTGATAGATTGCTACGAAAAGACTGAGATAGATATGAAAAACAGTACTAAATAGCTATGAAAAAACTGATATTATAAAAAAAAACTGGTGAAAATCTGAAAGAGATAGATAGATAGATAGATAGATAGATAGATAGATAGATAGATAGATATGAACAGACTGAGATAGATAGATAGATAGATAGATAGATAGATAGATAGATAGATAGATAGATATGAACAGACTGAGATAGATAGATAGATAGATAGATAGATAGATAGATAGATAGATAGATAGATAGATATGAACAGACTGAGATAGATAGATAGATAGATAGATAGATAGATAGATAGATAGATAGATAGATATGAACATACTGAGATAGATATGAAATTCAGAGATAGATAGATCTGACCATAATAAAATATAGATCTGAAAAAAATAAAGTAGATATATAAATATTCAAATAAAATATAGATAAATATAGATATATCTTAACAAAATAAAATATAGGTGGATAGCTCTGAACAAAATAAAATAGATTAATCTGTACAAAATAAAACAGACAGATAGGATCAGTTTGAAATAGTGATGGAAAGAGAAAGAATAGGAAAGCACACTAAGTAAATTGGGACACTTAGAGAATCAACAAATAATAGAATCCGGGGCATTAACCTTATCCAATCGGATCAGTCTGCTGATTGAGCAATTCGAAGTGTCAACTTGACTCAACAACGCCTCTTTATATATTCCTCCCCTTTTTGCTATCTGCCGCGACTTGGATTGACCACTTGAAACACCAGATACTATGGCCATTGATACAGGTGGATCTGATCTGATCGTTCTTATTGCAATACAGATTCTATTATTTTTGACGATTTTATAGGTCTTCACTGCATTCTATTCCTTCTGATTTGATCGAGTAATCTTGTCTTCATGTTTTTGAAGGTCAAATAATTGTAGGTCAAAAAAGTAAAGTGTCAGTGCAGTTTGTTCGTCAAACATAAGATCTCTAAAAGTTTATAGAATTCCAGAACTAAAATGCACTGTGGGAAGTAGATGGGAATAATTCAAATGGAGATATTGTTAATTGACGAAGAGAGAAAAGTAAGAAAATACGTAATTTGATTAAGAAAAGTAATAAAAAAGAAAGAAAAAAGAAAGAAAGAAAGAAAGGGAACATAAAATCGGTAATAAAAATGAGCAAGAGGGAAAGAAAAGAAAAATAGAAACAAATCAAGTGATAGAGATAGTAAACAGAAAAAAATGAAAACAGGAAAAAATAGAAAAGAAAAAACTGAAAAATAATTAGGTAGAATCTACTTTAAAGTCCAGACAAACATTCTAAAAAAGAGAATGCCTAACATTACTGGACTGCTTTAACTTATGTGCCATCGATGTCAGGTCCTACAAGGAAGGCAGTTACATGCCATAAACAGCTGTTTACGCATGCGTGACACAATGACTGTCATTAACTTCCGCTGCCGGATAGCTGGTTGTTGGCATTTTCAAAAGCAGATATTAGCAGGTAAGTGATGAGAAATGTCATTACTTTTGGCTTTCGATTCTAAAATCATACAGGATTATTTACAAATGAATTTGTGCTTGTAATTTAGCTCAATATATTTTCCACGCCTCGTTTAAATTTGAAGATGATGCTTTCGTAATCAAAAAAGAAAACTGAGAAAGCTTAACATTCAAGATAACTTTTATTTTCTGGGTGATCTTTTCGTGATAATGAAGATAACATAAAACATTACAAACATTTAGCAACTATATTTTATGAATATAAAACATTTTGCATAATTTTTAAAATATGGTGGTAGAAAATTGCGTTGAAGAAGTGTATTTGTTGATTACCGAATACAGAGCCGTTGCGTCATACCCTCTAAACGCCTGGGCGGAGGAAAACCCTGATTGTGGACTCCGGGCAGTTCTTTGTGACTTTGCTATCTTATCAACATTTATTTTGTTTTGTTTTTTTTTTCTAATTATATTTATATACGTTACAAATTAATATATTCACAACTGAGTATTAAAAGATGAAAAATTTTCGCGGATTTTAACATCATTCTGGGAACTTTTTTTTGTTCGTCCAAATCCGTGAATTCTTTTGGATCATGCTAAATCTAAAAAAAAAACACAATATGAAATACATAATTTTTATTCATGACGTTGAAATTCTTCAACTTTTTAATAAGTTCACGTTAAAAATTGCAGCCAAATATTGTTGATCAATTATCACATGCCGTTAATATGTATTTAGATACACTGTATTTATTTTCAATTGTTTCCAGTTGAATTGTTCATCTATATTACATATGATCCATTATTGTACATAATTAGGTTACAATAAAATTTATATGAAAACTGAAATGTACTAGAGTGGGAGCGTATGATAGACCCACGGGTGCCTGTCACCCTTACACAAGCTTAGACTGAACATATCAATTCAACGCTTCAAAATTAATCATTCCTTTACGCAAATGATTGTACTATAATGTAACATAATAACGAAATTTTCCCACTTATACACAATGTTTTCAACTGCCTCTCTTGACTTCAATATATTCTGTGAATGTCAAATTTTCCAGGTCTACTTTTCTCAATATGTGTCCTAGAATTTTCAACTGTCTATTTTATGTATAACTGTGTTTTTTTCTTCCTGTTTCCATAAGATTGTTTGTTGCTTTCATAATCCGTCCATGACATTTTCAGCATCCACCTGGAGGTCATCATTTCTGCTGCCTACAGTATTTTCCAGATCATTGACAAAATTGTTCAGTATTCACTGCTATATAGAAAGATTGATATTACACAGCAATTCAACTCTCTTTTCTGTCTCTAACGAAATTTTAGAGTTCTTTAACACTCTTAGTTGTGTTATAAAACATATTTTGCTCTTCTAATGCACTTTAGAATTTCGGTGTCAAAATTTCCATCCATTTCCCATATTTTTTTTTTTTTAAGCATTACGCCCCGAGCAAGGCGTGAAGCCACTAGGATGCAGGGGTTTGCAGAAGATTTGGAGCGAGAGCAGATAGGAGTGATAGAAGAAAGGATGAGGAGAGGGATAGTGGATAGATCAAGGTAACTGGAGATATTACATTACATTTGAATAGTTGGAGATTATAGCTCTCAGGGAAACCGTATACGAAACATAAACAAAAATATTAAATTTTTTTTAATACTCCGACATTATTTCTTATTATTGGTTAGATTTAGTGGACACCACTGAGGTTAACAACTATCTGCGACAATCTGTTTCATGTTTGAACACAATCTTCATGGCATGAAACAGACTTTCGTCACTGGGTGTTGACCTCAGGGTCTATTTCTATATTTTATATTTACATACGCTCTATTTCTGGTGTTGAGCACGTTAGCCTGAAAATATAGCATACCTTAAAACTATATTTTTATCATATATACTGAACGTTTTAAAATTATAAACACAGCTGTTCATGGAAAAATCCCTAACTCGGCTAATAACGTTTAAAAATTATTTTTGGTAGTTTGAACATATTTGTCTCACGTTTCAGGTAAACGATTTGTTAAAGGATTATATCCAACAGGGAAACTGAAAATAATATCAATGATATTAATAAATATGAAGAGGAAACTTATTTATTAACTTCCTTTGTAATGTCAACAAACACTCATTGCCACTTTCGTAATGATCGTTATAGTAGAGACTTGTAATCGCAGTATGCAATTGAACAATACTGGTGACCTTCGAATATCACTCGCACTTATAATACTTGTTCGATAATACTCGCTCAAATAGTAACCCGTGTACTGATCCGAAAAGAGAAATAGTATAGTGAATAGAGTAGAGAATAGCGTCCCGTATAGTGACAGAGGAGAAATAGCAATCCGAATAGTAATAGAGGATAGACAAGAAATGGTAATCAGTTGCCAGCTACTTCCTACATATATGCATTTCCTCTATGGTCACGTGGTCTACTTAATTCAATAATGGCATCACCTTTATTCTTATATAACATTTACTAAGAAAAAGATGGCTTTGATAAACCATTGATAATAATAACTAGATACCCACTATGGTTAAAGATATAAATACTTGAGCAATATCCAGTGGAAAAATAATTACAGCCCTTCCTAAACAGGAGGAAAGCTGAGAAACGTGGAGCAATGACATGGATAAAAATACATAATCACTTGCACTTTCAAATATAATATTAATACGATATATGTTGAAAGGAATGCGTGATGGAAGAAGACTGGTTAAAACGAAGGAATGAATCCTCATTTTTATCAATAGATTTGAATAGTTTAGAAAATTCATGATTAGGACAGTCAAAACGATGCGGGAGAGTGGGAAGAGAAATCAAGTATCACAAAATGAGACGTAAATCAACTGCACAAACATTTCAAGAAACAAACAACAAGAATTGAATACGAAATCGCAGACATTGTTACATACTTGACATTTGAAGAAACAAAATGAATTCTTGCAAATGGCGGCCCAGAACAATTCTGTAAGACAAACTATTTTAAGACTAAGATAAACAGGACACAACAGAATTGTAAGCGCCGAGTATGTACATACACGCACGCAGAAAGAAATAGAAAGAGTTAGAAAAAGAGAGGAGGTAAAGGTTGTCAAATATATATTAGTAGAATGAAGCAAACTGATCAGATGGAATATAGTTTACATGCTTGGATAGGAAAGGTAATCCACCGGGAATTGTGCAAAGCACAGTAATATGAGCTTTCAAATCAATGGTGTATGCAGAAGTGAAAATATAAGCCAAAATAGAAAAAGTATATAAATACACAAATAAATTATATATAATTCTTTGGGAATTCAAAGGGATTAACTGACTTCAGTGAGAAGATCAGATCTAAATAAAATAAAAACGAAATATTTCAAAGAAAACGGATGTCGCTGTTCTCTCGGAATACAAAGTGAGATTGAAAGAAATTTAAGAGCTGGAAGGATATATCTCGGCTTTGAGAGAAACCTTGAGAAACTAAAGTGCCTGAAGGTAGCATTTTGCCTGTTTGGGTCAGTCTAATAATTCTTACTCGGCCGTTTTATATTGGTTTCGAAGACACTTGCAATAAGAAATAGAAGCCACCTAAAACACGGCGTTGTTGAACTCGGAATGAGTAACAGGATGCTGGCATGTTTTATGGATATGCTCTTACTTTGATCTCTGGTGAAAGCCAGTAAATTCAGCTTGTGTCACTTAAGAATAACAATAATAATAATGCTTGCATGTAGAGTAGAATTACTATCATTTATTTTCCAATGAAAGCTTGCAGTCGCTATTGTTGTAAAACGCAATGTTTACAAAAATAATACTAAAAGCCGAGGACTATTTCGCAAGAAACAGAAAAGATGTCAGGAGGGAACAAAAAAAAAAAAAAAGGAAAGAAAAAACAATTAATAATAAACGAAGATAAAACAACAAATAAGAACTTTGTTCTAGCAGGACAGACTATAAAATGTCTTATGACATGATAACACGGCCTTGAAATTTTTAAAAACTTTTAGTCCAGTGATTCTCAACTTATTTTGCCCGTGCGCCGTTTTCCCCATAAATCAGGATATCATCCCCCACTTTCCAAGATTGTCCTACTCAAAAGGTACATTTCAAATAATATGCATATATTATTGAAAATCTTCATTCTTTTCCTCATTAGTACTGAGGAGGAAAACAATGAAGATTTTCAATATTTTTTCAAAACTGTGAGAATTCTTAAAAGATACTTCTTATTTTTGGTCTTTGATAGTTACTGTCCTCTTGCAGTTACGTTCACTTACTAATTTGTCATTGTCCTCATTATAAATTCTTAAACAGGGGTTCTCAACCAGTGGGAAATCCCACCTAGGGGATTATTTATGGTATCTGTAGGGGAATTAAAGCTAAAGATTGGTAGACTCAAAATGTTAACTTTTGAACTCCCTAAGGCAGCACTACCCGCAGTGTTATGCTGGGTTTTCTTTTCGCAAGCTCTTGTGCTTTTTGCCATTGCAAAAATAATCCATGAAAACGTATTTCCCTACGCTGCCTCATATGATGGTTACTTGAACTGTTTATTAAAGAAAGCAAATAAAGTTACAAATTCACAGCGTCCACATGACCTTTAAATATTTTACGAAGACTAGTAATGGTACTAGAAAATCTCATACAAATGATCCTAGTCTTCAGTCAATACACAGAAATGTAAACATTAACAATAATACATAAGACGGACAAGAAAGTCTAGACTAAACTTTGCATTAGATACTTAAAAGAATAAATATCTGGGCAGTTTCTATTGTGA